TAACTCTGTTTAATGAAATTGTCATCGTATTAACTATAAAAGTAATGTACTGTCACGTTAGGTGGTGACTGGTATTTCAAAAGAAAGGAAAAAGGAGTGTAGGATGTAAATGTTGGAATTCTACCGAAGTAGGACCAAAATGTAGGTGATAGAATGAGTGGACTGTATGTGTGATATAAATCATACAATGGATAGAAAATGGTAAATACTTATAATGAAGATAGGTACGTGTTACATATATATAGGATAGGTTGTGTACAAACGGTTGTAGTCAAAAAGTGACAATAAAATATATGACAATTCAAAAAGAAAATACATTTAAAATTGGTAGAAAAATAAATGTATAAAAATATGAAAAGAGTTTGCAACGAGGAGAGCGTGGAATAAAATTTATTACAGCAGCGTTAAAAAAATTACAGAAGGAGATTTACACTAACACAACATATTCCTAATTATGTTGACCCCAGGAATAAATGGGACTAAGGATTAATGGTTTAGATTGATGATGATTTACAGTGCTATGAACAACACGGCTAACTCTCTGGCGCTGATCGGTGGTGGCAGGTTCTCTAGATCGAGGAGTTATGCTTCATTAACTTCTATGTTGCTGCAATACGATGCACCTTCAATTAATATGCTCAGGAGTTTTATTATCCCTCATGAGTAGGGACAAAAGATCATGCGGCGTACCTGATGGTAAGTGATTACCGCCGCCCATGAGTAACCACAACATCAGGTGAATTGCAAGTACGTTGTCGGCTTTTTAAAAAGGAATCAGCTCTTCTTCAAGGTTTCAATACCATATCGGTATACATAATTACGTCAGAGGGACTACCAAATAGTACGTTTGTATTTTATTTTGCGTAATTGTAATATAATATGATGTTAGAGACACTTCTCCCTGTCTCTTGTCTGGTATGTTTTCCCTCGTAGGTTCTCTCCGAGTTCACACTCGATTCAATCTCTTCTTTGAACAACGGACATTTAATTCGTCTCTCCATATTTTTAATTTGACATATTTTTTTGTGAAAGGTATTTTTTATACATAGATAGGTCTAACGCGGTAATTGTGACAAAAACTGTTTGAAAATGCTCTGGTGCAGAGAATAAATGACTGCCAAATGATTATTCATAGCACTTTCATAAACATTATATATCGTAAATATTTCTGAGCAATTATTAAATTATTTATTTTACGTAGTTCTGTCAACTTCTTCAATTGTTTATTAAAAGGAAAATATAAAAAAATTAAACGCATAAATCCTCTTTCTACTAAATTGAACTATAGCACTCTTAACGTCAAATTTCACGGGGTTACCCGATTAAATTTTCAGTGAACGACACAGAAGGAGTAATTGGTAATTTCACGAACTGACATGGGTTCGACAAATTGCCTGTTAAAACTTGGTGTAGACTCAAAATTGAGAAGCCTTGGTTAGTGATGCCAGATTAGTATTCCCCCTAAATGGGGGATTTTTAGCGATGGGCAAAATTGGAGGGAAGGAATGTGTGATGATTGATGTCGGATATATCGTGGGCTTACGGCGCGTACGATTGAAAAAAACAAGAACACTAGCGTTTAAGAAAAAAGAACAGGTGGCTAGAAAAGCTGAAGATCGTGCCCAGTGGCGTGCCTTGGGAGAGGCCTATGTCCAGCAGTGGACTGCAGTGGGCTGATGATGAATGATGGCTAGAAAAGACCACCAGTCTTAAAAACACATTGAAGAGATTTAAAAAACAGGTAAAGGTAAAAGTCAAGTATCCAGGAATTCTTTATTGGGGGGATTTTTGTTCAAAATATATATATTATTTTGGGAATTTTTAATAAAAAATGGGGTAGAGGGATTGTTAGTATTAGAAACTAGTGATCCTCAACCTGACATTTCATTGCCAGCAGTGACCCTCATTACTGGAAATGTAATGACAGGTTGACTTCCATGGGGACTCCTTGGCATGACTGTTTTAGAATGATTTAACTACGATAGATTGACTGATTTTTTCATGCTCAATCCTCCACTGGTGCTTCACCAGCATATTAATGTAAGCAGGTAAACCATGCCATAGTCATCCATACATAAAAAATACAAATTTTCGAGGACTTCCGATAGTCATCTGGCAACACTGTTCCTGGCCTATACTGCTAATATTGTTAACATTAATAATATTACAGGCTTTACACGTTGAATATTATTTCAAGGTGCGTACATTGAGTACTAGCGTCGTACCTACCAGAAGTAAAATTAGAGAAAATTGGGATTTACAAAGAATCTTTCGCAGATAAACTATAATGAAATTGAATGATAACTGACTGTCAAGTCAGAAGACAAAAAAATATTATGTATATTTATTATAGGTTTATTTTAATATTTTGTATTGGTCTGAGTGTATTTTGTACATTAAAGTGCGTATCTACTATATATACTATCAGTTGTCTAATACATGTAGTATTATGTTATCTGTGCTAATATTCTTAACACAAGCTCAGCTTAGTTTGGGCTGTGTATTACTGTCTATATAATCCAGGGTTATTATTATTATTATTTACAAATAACGGAACCATCCGCTTAAAAAGGATTAATGACACGTACAAAGTCGAGAGCATCACCTAGTCTATGCTAACATCATAAAGATGATTTTGAATTTTCGTATATATAAATAAACGGTTAACGGGTGGGCCAACAGCTCATTTTCCATTCCAATTATATTGGAAAAAAATGAGCCCACATGTACAGTAAAAGCGTGTAATCTTCCATTCCTTGGAAAGAGCCATGTCTCATGCATACCTAATTGATCATTCAACTAATCATACTCTGTAGAATTATATGCTATCTCTGTCTAACCTATAATAAACTATAAGATATAGGCAGGAAACATATTGATAGAATTTATAATTTAAAAATTACATTAAATGTAAAATTGCTGGGTTTTTCTTCGGCCGCCAATTGCTAAAGCACGTCTTATTAAGGATTTATCATACAGTAGTTAGGAATTAAAAATTATTTTATTATAATTTTTAATTTATAATGTTATATTTATAATACGCATATATACAATATTAGATAGGAACTTTATACCTCTATCTCTATCAGATACCTCTTTAGTTTGCATTATTAGTTTATGCTAAATTACTTCCTAAAGGATAACTAGTGCACCGCTCACCATCGACAGGAAAATTATCCTCATACAGCTTGCACTTAAATTGTGGAATGAACACCCTGCCGAGGTTTTCACAAACAAGAAAGGTATATTAAGGGTTTTTATGAGTCAGCAATCTGTACGAAATACTGATGGAGATTCAGTGTATATATAGCATTAAATATAAAATATTCTTCATTTCATCACAGTTTCACGCAAGACAGCAGTTACTTAGTTCTTGTTGCTAAGTACACTAGTTGCTAAGTACTAAGTAACACAAATAACAGTTACTTAGCAACAAGCTCTTGTTGCTAAGTAACTGTTAAGTGTTAATACTTTTGATTCCACAACCAATGTGCCTAATAGATACCCCTGATGTTTGAAACATTAAAGCAACTTTAATCGCTGAATTGCTTTAAATACAACATGTCATAGTTAATTTTTCAACCTAGTCGAAACGTCGAGAGAGGTAAATACCTTTATTTGCCATAAAATTATTCGTGTTAAGACCCGGTTAATAATTTAAACAACATGTCATGTCTCGATTTAGTCATCGCAATATTGACATCCAGCCAACTTTCTAATTTCTTTATGAGTGAGAGATTTTTATTATGATATCATGACTAATTAGTGCTATCACAATTCAAATAACTTCTATCGTATACGTAGTGTACTTCAACATTATTTTGTTAGGCGAAAATTTATTATTTTTTACAACTGCCACACACATTTTTTGTAAATTAATTTATTGTCAAATTTACAATACTCAAAAATATAAGTACGTGCTTACTTATTTATTGTTACTTATTGTTTTCACAACCAACACTGGATATTAGAAATTTTTGTATTATTTTTTTAATTGTAGCACTATTTTATTAGGGTGCGACGTACCTGCTTGAAAATTTAACTAATTCATAATCTATAAAATTACATAGAGGAAATATACTGACAGCTATTGTAATTTAAAAAGTAAAATTACAGTGTTTTCTTCGACCTGTAATTGCCAAATCACTTTCAACTTATTGTGGATATAGCATTCAATAACAAACTATTTTTCTATACATTTCAATATATAAGTTCTATAAATGCAAAAATTGAGTTGCCTTCTTACGGTTTCAAGCAACATAAAATTTGCAAAAGAGAAGGACTTGAATGATTCATTGTGATGTTACGGGCAGAGATAGTTTTTTTTTATAATTTCAATGCACAAATAAAGGTGCACATTGCAAATATTACCTTACTTTACCTTGAGGTCTTTTCTCCCAGTCAACTGTGCAAACTGAGTTATATATCAGCAATGCATTATCTAAATGAAACCTTAGTTCTTCTTGCAAAATCAAATAACTTAATTGATCGTCAATCGTCTTCATCGTTGTATCATTTTTTTATTCTATACAATAATATATGTATAAAAAAACAATTAACACCATATTCGCAAACAAATAGATTTTTCAAAAGTTGTGAAATTTGCCTGCATTAATGACGATAATAAAAAAAATTACGTCACGAATATGGTCCAAATATATTTTCTCTTCAAATCTATCCAAAATACTTATTATAATATAATTTAAATAAGACCAAGTTCAGAAAATAAAAAGTTCTGAAATTATTAGGCATAATATTGGCACTTAAAATGTATATTCATATAATTTATATAATAACAATGTTTAATAACATTGAAATAAATTATATTAACATATGTTATGTTATTTATGTATTTAGAAGTTAATATTATTACATAAATATAACAATAAAGTTGCGAGGTTCTTTACTGCATACTGTTTTTCACTTTGATATAAAAAGAGTTGAATACGTGTGAATAAATCTTCTACCAATCACCCAATGGGTTTCGCTAAAACACCGCAATGCTTTTGCGCAAAATTATGTCGTTTGCTAAAGGGCTCGAAGATTCTGAAAATCCTTTATTGGGTCCAAATTTAAGGGGACTTTATTGGTGTGGCGGTTGGCGAGATGCTAATAAATTTCGTAATGCGCTTTCTAATATTGCTGTATTTTGTGCAGTAACATTTATTACGAGCGAAATTATCGAGGTATATTGTTTACGAAGCGACATAAACAAAATGCTTTACAGTATATCAGTATCTATTTTAAGTGTAATATCTGCGTCAAAGAATATACATTTCATGTTAAATCAGAAGAAATTAAAAATGTTAATTACTCTAATATCTACATATGAGATTTCAGATTCGAACAAAGTAGAGGATGATACTATTAAAGAGATGAAAAAATATACAAAATATGCTAGAATAGTAACATATACGTATTGGATACTGGTTTTTGCGACTAATATCGGAATGATAGTAACTCCTCTCATTAAATACGCATCTGCTGTTTATAATGTTGATGTTGACAGTTCGGAAATGTATCCTGAAATAATCAGCTCATGGTTTCCATTTGATAAGACTAAAAAACCTGGTTACATTATAGCAAGTGTTATACATATTCTAATGTCCACTTATGGCGCTCTTGCAATAGGCGCTTGTGACATGTTTGCTATTACTGTTCTAACATTTATTAAAGGTCAGTTAATAATATTAAACAAAAAGTGTATTAAAATATTTGCAAGCAATTACTCCGAAAGTAACATTTTGGAGGCTATCAGAGATTGTCATCGACGACATAATATTTTATTAAAGTAAGTAAAAATAATTCTTTGTATGGTGACCAAAGTAAAAGTTATATTTTGTCAAGAGAGATATTTCGTCATATATTCATAGATGATAAGATGTGTTCCTACGATAATAAAAAGCAAAAAGAGGTAAATAAAGAAAATTGTTATTAGGCTGATAAAGTCCATAAATAAAGCACTCTCTATTCTAAAGTAGAAGTCCAGCAGGTCGACGATGTTACTTTTTATGATATTGAAACTATAAAAAAAAAAATTTATTGCTATAGGCAACACGGATTTTTTTATGTAACTTGTATGTCACATAAGATAACGCCTTACCTAATAGTGAGCGATACTGATTAGGCAGTTAAATACATATCTGTAAACAGTATCACAGACATCATCTAAAGACAAATGTATTTTTATCATGCTCCTTTGCTTCCTTAAACATACAACACTCCTAAAAAGCAAGCGTAGTACAATAACTTTGTACAAAATCTACTTCATGTAGAGATGATTCCTTATTAATATATAAGTGTGTACATAGTCAATGTATAATATTTGTATATTGGAGTATATAATCAATATTTATATATTTTTAGAATCTATCAATTATATGACTCTTTGTTGTCACCGGTGATGTACATATACGTATTGATTTGTTCAGTGATGATATGCTGCAATGTAGTTCAGTTCACATCGGTGAGTTGGTGACTGGTATATTAAAACAAAAAAGTAAGATACGGCTTGGCTTTGAGAATTAAATGAGAATAAAGTCTTTTTTGTCTTGGGGAGAATTTTCCCCAAATGTTCTTCATCCTCAAAGATAATCTGGAGGATGGAATATGTAGGGTTGTTTTATATTAATCATGGCGTACTTTAAAGCGACTAGCTGAAATCATAACTCATCAAGATTGAATATTTGGGGCTAATGTGAATACGAGATCTTACTTTTTTGTACAAATTTTAACCATTAGATTAGTGTGCTTATATTTGCTTAATTAAATAGATGCATGTATTTAATCTAAGATGTCTTTAAAAGTCAAGATCCCTAAAATATTTAAACAGAGAATGTACATATATAATAATGCATTCTACCAGTGCTAACATACGCTTATAAGACGTGGTCGCTAACTACCGAAAGGGTCACTGCGCTGCAAGTTGCCCAAATAGCAATGGAACCATCTATGCTTGGAATCCACGAGACATACTGCGGAACACCGAGACCACGCGACGTACTGGAATTATCAACGTCATCCAATGAATCACACAGCTTAACTTACTATTGTGACGAAAGGCGTAAGATGGGAAGCAGAAGCTTAGATAGACCAGCTGCCAGATGGTTGGACGACATCAATAAGACGACAGGGCGGAACTGGACCAGATGCGCCGCAGACCGAAGACTGTGTAAAACTAAGCAAAGGGGCTGTAATGGCTCGGTGGATTGTATGGGTGTCTAAATGGTGAAAACACGTATAGAATATGATAATAAAATATATTGAAATATAGTTGCGAACTATCTAAAGAACAATGAATAAATAATTTAAATGTATCAAAAAGCATGAAGAACTGTTCTAATAATATAGATGCATGATCTAGATGTTAAAATAATAAAAAATATCAAAAGAGGCTAGGCATATACTGAAGCAGAGGAAGAATATATATTAAAATACATTTTATATTTAGTGAATTACAGTCTTCCTAAGACTCTTAATAGGGTCGATTATTTAAATTAGTCTTTAAGATCTAAGTATTTACAGGTTTCACCGCTATTCCAGTAAAAGTATCGCTTTGCGGAGCTCTCTAGTATTAACGATTTGGTACTTATAATATTAAATTGAGTTTAACTGAATCGTTATAATAATTAAGTTTCTCTTATACAGAACGATATATCAGCAGCCCAAAAGCTCTGGATCTTACAATATACATTTTATCTCATTTCACAATTGTTTTTGTTCTGCTGGCATAGTAATGAAGTATTAATCGAAGTAAGTGTTTTTGAAAAACTATTGTTTAATTTAGTTTTAAAATTTGTAAATATTTATTGATTGTTATCTAAGAAGAAGATAGTCATTGTCGACTATCATCGACGTTGTGATCAGCGCAACATTCAACGGCTAACCACATTTCACTAAGTATACTATAATCGAATGTGTCCGGGGAGGGGGCGAGTTTACCGTCCTCTATTGAAATATTGTTTTTTGGGTTGTTAACCTGAATTATGCCAAAAAGATCGTCAGTTTAAATCTGCCCTACACTAAACAATTTTTCAATCAATTCATATTTCTGACTAAGTCCAGTGAAAAAACATATTACATACAGAATATGAAAAATTAATTCGAGAGATGGCGGTAGGATCTGTCTGTAGAGTTGGATAAGAATATATATCATATTTAAATGTTTTTTAATAAATTAAAGACTATTATAATAATACAGGTCTGACCAAATCATTAACTAATTAGTGAGGTAATTCATTGCAAAATCTCTTTCTACAGAGTATAAAAGTAGATGGAGGAGTATACACAAGTGAGTGGTGGAAAGGTGATGTACAGACACGCAAACAGATTCTACTACTCTCTGCAAAACTAAACACGAAATTTATAATGCATGCTGGGCCATTCACAGTTTTGTCTGTACCAACTTTCATAGATGTAAGTTTTGTTCTGTAACATCAAATCTGAGCTTTTTTACTATATTTATACAGCCTTACTTCCGGTGGTCGCGGGTTCGATCCCTCGCACAGCACAAACATTAGTATGATTGTTTGCATCGGTCTGTGTGTTTTCTGTGTATATACATACCTATATGTATTTATATTAGTTGTCATACATATAAAACAAGCTATAACTATGTTTATAACCAGATATAGCTTCTTTTCTGATATTTATTTATTTATTCATGTAATATTATATATAATGATATAGTATGGAACTAGATGTAATTATACTGAAAATGGAACATTTCACTACTAACTAGATGTAATTATACTGAAATGTTCCATTATTATAAAGAATTTATATATTTTTGTAATTAGGTGTATAATTCAACTAACTTATTTTTTTTATTTAATTAACATCATTATCATTATCCCTAGCCTTCATCCCTATAACTAGGATCGGCTCTGTCTGGCTATGTCATATTCCACTGATTCCTACTGGATGTTATATCTGCACTTCCTTTAGAATTAACGTATTTTTCCAGTTTGAAATACGACTTACGACTGTGGAATTAATATTTTTTTCTAATTTTAATGCTAAGATGAACTTTGCTACCAATATTGTTATTGATCACAAGTATACTAATATTATGAGGAGGTAAAATTTGCGAGTACGGATTTTGGGGGTAATCTTCGGTACTCTCTCTCTAACATCTCTCAATCGTCTCTCAATAACATCTGATTTTGAAAAATCTTTTTATGTTATAGGGATTGCTTATTTATTGACTACTAGCTACTCGTCCCGACTTTGCATTTCGTGTTTCTTTGGGTGTTCATATATTATACATATTCCTTCATCTTGAATCCCTCTATCTATTAAAAAAAACTTTACAAAATGCGTTGTGTAGTTTTAAAAATTTAAGCATACATAGGGACGGATACACAGCGACCGCGACTTTCTTTTATACTATGTAATAATGATGATTATTTATTAATATGCTATATAACACCACGAAATGACTAATAACAGCGGAGTTGCAAGAACAGGTAAAATCTTAGTGAATCAACCTAATCTAATATAAATATTTAAAGTTGCCTGTACTAATTTTTTTTTCAGATTTTGAAGGCTTCATACAGTTTCTACACGTTATTCTCACAAATGCAAGATGTAAAATAAATTAGTGGCTATTCACCAAAAACACAATAACGCTCTCTCGAGTTCTTACGATCCTACTCATGCCTTATAGATATTAATTTTATATTGATGCACCTGAAATTACTATAATGCATAACTTATATAATACTATACTTATTTCATTTCCAAATATTGTTCTTATTACACATTTTTACTACTGCTACTAGTTACTTCTACCAACGTTTAAAAACCTGTGCTATAGTTTCTATTGAGTAAGTGTTCTTGTAAAATAAACTGTATTGTGATACATAATAAATTAATAATAAAATATATTAGTTGTATTACATAAAAGCTTGATTTTTAAATACTGCTAGTTATTGCCCACGAAAATAACTGCATGGTATTAAATTTAAATATTTATAAATCCTACGTTATTGCATCTCTTTTTATATCTACTTGAAATTGTGATACCTGATTAATGCGACCGGCAACGACAGTGAATATAGAATAAAATAAATAAATAACCACTCTTATAATAATGTATTTAGTAACACATATGACACAACAATAGCAAAACAATATAATAAAATATATATGTCAATAATTGTAAACAAAAATATGTGGTTTAAAATAAGAAACAGATATAAAAAGAGGACTGTCGGCAACATTGATGATAAGTGTTAATGGTCGCTTGTATACATGAAAAGTGCTACGACATCACGTTGTCAAGATCCCCTGTGTATTCCAAGTAATGGCTTCACCTGAGTGGTATACTCAGGTATAGCTATTCCTCTGAAGTAATATATGTCTTATTACATATAATTTTATTGTTTTATATCACTTTTTAACCGACACACAGATTTGAAGACAAGCATCTTGGCGATTAAAATAAGTAAATAGCAGGTATCCATACAGATGATTTTTACAAAACTGTCTTGGTAAATGTTATAATATAAATTTAACAAACTCACATGTTTACAATTGAAATTTTTTATACTTAATTTAGATGTGTTAACCGACTATTAATATAGTCAAGGTAACTTATTTTAGATTACAAATACAGGTTTAATCCTTTTAGAGTATCACCAGTTCGCAAGATTCAGGTCTGACTTAGTTTGTGGACTACTGATAAGAGCAATTAAATTTTATTATCTATACATGTAAATAAAATTGGAGTATCTGTTTGTAATATTGAAATAGCCGTTTTTACTACATGTATATAAATATAAATACAATACATATATAAAATAACATTTTTTATCATTTTTGTCAGTCTGTCTGTCTGTTTGTTCCGGCTAGTCTCTGAAATGGCTGGCGATTTTGACGGGGCTTTTATTGGCAGGTAGCTTATATTATTATGATTTAATAAGTAGTAACTTAGGCTACTTTTATTTTAGAAAAATAAAGTTAAATTCCACGCTGACGAAATCGCGAGTACAGCTTGTAGTAAATAAATGACAATCTATGGGTAAGTAAATTAATTAATGTATTAAGTATAAATAAAGTAAGTTTTATAATAAAGTAAATAAGATTTAATTACATTCAATTTTTATAAATACTGCCTTCAAAATGTTTGTTAGGATTTCTTTTCTTCTTCTGGTAAAAAAATTTAATACTGATATATACCTACATATATTACTTAATAAATAGCATATAATTAATTAATTCAGCCTACATACACATATGTATAGTATATATTTCTTATTGAGGTTAAAATGTTTAATACTAATATACCAATATCATTTAATAAGTAGCATGTAAATGACATTTTGAAATCATTCATTTGACTGGAAAATAACAAGTTGTCACAACAACAGACTAGAATTTCACCCTCGCTACAAAATAATTGGGCGTTCGATTTCTTATCCAATAATATATCATTTTACATGACAATCAAAGCCTGGTGTTTCTTATACCTATAATTTAAATTAAATAGCATCTTATAGCTTAATTAAAGTAATACTGTTACGATGTTTGTATTTGAACTTTGTTTTAATGAAAAGAAATTAATACTCTTTGTTGTTTTATCTTACAAAAAGACAATTATTTATTAATACTAAATATAGTGAAATATAATATTTTATATTAATATAATCAAGTTGTTACTATTAATAATAATAATAATAGTTGAGATGATCTCTCTCTGATACTGAGATTATCTCAGGACAATTCACACAGCGCCATCTAGACCCAAGTTAAGCTAGCTAAAGCTTGTGTTATGGGTACTAGATAACTGATACAAATACATAGATAATTTTTTTTCGTAAATACATACATATTATACATAGAAAACACCCAGACCGATACAAACAATCATACTCATGAATACAAATGCTTGTGTCATGCGAGTAATCGAACCCGCGACCATCGGACGTAAAGCGGTGTGCTAGACCGCTATGCCACCAAGGTCGTCAAATTATGAATTATGAAACTATAATGTGTAAGTAAGATAGAAAAGATATCAATAAAACATGTATTAGGTTACAGTGCCATAGCGTTGAATAGGGATCTGTTCCAGGGAGGTAGGTAACCTTAGGACGGAGAAGAATGTCTTAGAGGTTTTCTTGCGGTGAGTAATACTGCTACTATCTTTCTAAAATTAATCATCTGTAACAATAATATAGAAAGCAACATCAAATGAAAGTGCTTGTATGAATATACAACACAACCTACTTCCATTCTGCTTCACACTTATATAAAGACATTCTATAAACAGTTGCAAGTTCTTCTAAGAAATCATTATAATACACAATGTCTATTAAGAAACTACTATCGGCTCTCGAAAACCCTGATCATCCATTACTTGGTCCAACTCTAAAAGGTCTTAATTTATGGGGACTGTGCCAATCAGCTGGATGGACCTCTGTAGCATACAATATTATACACATATCCGCCATATTATTCGTAATTAGTCAATATATTGAACTCTGGTACATACGATCAGACCTGCCATCAGCTCTTCGTAACCTTTCTGTTTCTATGCTCAGTACAGTCTGCGTAGTAAAAGCTTCTACTTTCGTATATTGGCAACACGATTGGAGAGACATAATGAATTTTGTATCTGCATTAGAAATATATCAAATTTCTAAGAACGATAAAGCAGTGAATTCCATTATCAAGAAGTACACACAGTATTCTAGAAGAATTACGTACGTCTATTGGTTTTTGGTTATTTCAACTGTCCTAACATTGATTTTGGCACCTTTGATTAGCATCTTGTCATCACCTGAGGATAGAGTAAAAATTAAAAATAATACAAAATCATATCCAGAAATAATGAGTTCTTGGGCGCCTTTTGACAAATCAAGAGGTCCTGGTTATATTGTTATAACTATTGAACATGTTTTGATATGTTTTTACGGTGGAGGTATTGTAGCGAATTATGATACTAATGCATTTGTGTTAATGTCTTTTATTGCTGGGCAAATGAAAATTATAAGGCAGAATTGTGAACGACTGTTCGAAGGAAGAGATACTAGTCACGATGTAATATTAAGAAGAATTGCATGTTGTTATCACCATCATATTTCTTTGGTCAAGTAATATTTTTTTTTTACTATTTTAGTATATTAAGAATTTTATGACTATATAATGTATAATTATATATTTCATGATTAATAGATAACACTATTAATATTGTATTGGATATTTAAATTAAAGGAAATCCAATGCTCATAAATGACACTAGTATATTTTTAGAAAAGCATAGTAAGTGCAAAACCATCGCCATTATACTTACAAGATTACTGATTATATATATTATAATATATTTAATAATAATTTGGACTCTATAATTTAGTAATTTCCTTTTTTGTACAATGATTGGCAAACAAGCATATGGTGTATCTGATAGTAAATCGTTACTGTAGCTTATAAATGAATTAATATACATTACTATTTGGGTGTCACACATGCGTTGCAGATCCTTAGGAAACTTAATATAGCCATCTAGAAGAACCACATGCTCTAGTCTCGCGAGAAAACCACGATAGGTAGTTCATTCCAAAATGTAAGTGTACGCGGGAGGAAGCTCCTGAAACCGCACTGTCTGATACCATTTAGGTTCCAGCGTGTGGGGATAAATTGCCTGTTGATGGCGAGCGGTACGATGGTAGAAGGTAGCCATGAGCATCATGTCGAATAATTAATATATGATACTGAATAATTATTGAGTAGAAATTGTAGTTAAAATCACTAAATGATTGTATATGTTTTTATTTCCAGGTTTGCAAAAGTATTCAATGATTTATTGTCACCAGTGATGTTCTTGTACGTAGTTATATGTTCTCTGATGATCTGCGCCAGTGCAATTCAACTAACTATGGTATTAATAACTTACTCTACATTTAGACTAGCGTCCCGCCGCGACTTCGCACGGGTAGTAGAATTTATACACCAAAAATGCATTACTAATGTACATGAAACCCACATAAATATCCGTTCAGTAATTTTCGAGATTATTCTGAGCATACAGACAGATGCGATGGGTGAGGTTTGTTTTATAATATGTAGAGATAATCAATGTCGGTCAGTAGGTATTATCAATCCTCCAAAGGTAAATATCTCTATATAATTAAAATATATTGGTTATAATTATCGTCAAAAGTATTGTACTGTAATATTTATAGTAGTACTAGGCTTAGTTATTTTAAATTTTCGTCTTTTGTACACAATTTTAAAATAGTTAGTCGGATCTGTACATGGATAATTTTATGGTAAATAAGGGTATTTAAATCTCTCGACGTTTCGACTAGGTTCCACTAGCCGTAGTTACACACTAACTAAAGTACAGTGATATTAATTTCGGTAGGTGTAAACAGTTTTTTCATCATACATCACTAGACTGTCCAATGAAAGACCTCGCAATACCGCACTCATGGTAGAAGTCAACTAATAACCACGGTTAGTGTAATCTAGTCGAAACATCGACGGTGGTAAATATGGTAAAAAAACTAATTTCATTATATTAGATAATAAAATTATTCGTTTTAAGACCTGATTAATTATATGAATCACTAACCTTTTCTACAATAATGTACTCGTATTTCCTTTTAAAAAGTCAAGATATAATTGATGTGTACATTTATTAAAATACAAGCATTAGTTAAATATATAAGAAATTGTAATAGTTAGTAAAATCGTATTATTATAACGACTATACTAATAAAATGTCAATATTTTAGAAAAACACAACAAACATGCAAAAGATATGGATATCAGAATATCTTATGTCACTCATAACCCAACTATTTATGTATTGTTGGCATAGTAATGAAGTTTTAGATATGGTGAGTATAGTAATACTTTTAAAGAGTTAAATTCGTATATCAAAGTTCGGGGTAGACTGTATGTTGTAGTTTATTCAAGTAATAAGAAAAAAGACTGGGTAAACGGAGAAAAATATATATTAATTTAGACTACTGACATAACAGAATAGAAAGAAGGAATTGAAGTATCAAAAACAAGAATGTAATATAAAAAAACTATAAATTCAAATACAAATTTAGAATATAAAATATTTCTTCATTAGCCAGTTACACTTTACAAAGTCGATTTGCGTGAGCACCTATCTCTGAACCGAAATGCAAACATCGTGTTTCTGTTGAAGAGTTATAATAGAATTGACCGTGATAGTCAGAATGACATGGCGTCTTAATTCTTCTAGAATTGGTAATTCATGACAACCATTGCTTATATAGGGGTGGTAACCCCTTATATAGGGGTGGTAGCCCCTATATAAGCGATGGTTCGTTAGGGCACAGATAACATAATATTACATAATTAGGGATTGTATAGTCCCATCTAGAGATCCTAGAATGCAAGTGACCGATGGATGGTGGAACTGTGACATACCCACCACTGCTTCGATAGTGATGGTCTTGGTGATCAAGCCTTACTTTTGATGGTCGCGGGTTCGATTCCTCCCTCCATGTAAACATTAAAATTCATTATTATTTATATTTGTCTGGGTGTTTTCTATGTATATTATATATTTACAAAAATAATGATTTAAGTATTTGTAACAGTTCTCTAGTATCCATAACACAATCTAAATAACTTGAGATTGGATAGCGCTGTGTGAATTGTCCAGGGATATTTTTCTTATTATTGCCTCTTTAATGGACTGTCTAGGTTATGTAATGTGTTTTTATTGAAATTGTTCAGAGCAAGAAGGTTGACCAGGGTATTTATAAAAGTGACTGGTGGTCGAGCAACTTGCGTATGCGACGGAATATACTGTTACTGGGTGGTCAGCTCCGGAAGACAGTAATCTTCACAGCAGGACCGTTTGCTGTTCTCAGCTTATCCACATTTATTGCAGTAGGTTTCTCTGTGTATACTGTAATAATTAGAAATCCATTATCTTTAAAGTAATTATTCTATTTACTCTAATAATATTCACTAATTATAAGAAGGGGATCTATCCGACTTACCTATATATAGAGATATATACCAATAGAGTACAAATTAGGCGGTGAAATTACAGGATAAGAGACATCTTGGTCCTTCGAAATGGCAACGTATGAGAAGTGTCATGTTAACATGATATTCATAGTGCTGTTCATGTATATAGGCGACGGTTACAACTTACCATCAGGTGGTACCCTTATATTATTTTATAAACGCTCTTTAAAAATCTTATATTACTAACATTATAAATGTGAAAGTTTGTGAGTATGAATGGATGGATGAATGTTTGTTACAATTTCACGTAAAAACTACTAAACGGATTTTGATTAATATGCTTATACATCAGAAAAAACAACTATGATTTAAAAGAAATATAATGTAAATTCAAGTAACAGTGATGAAAATGAAGTTTCGCGGGTCAGATAGTAATAAAAATAATTAAAAGACAAGCACAATTAACATACATATTTTACTCAGGATTCACACAAAATTTGTATTGTGCGAGAGTCGAACTTGTAATCATCATAAATAAAGTGGTATGCAAAATCGTTAAACCATCCAGAATGTAGAGAAGAATAAATATATAGTTACGTATAGAATTGAGGGTTGCATACTTGAGAATATCCGAACAATACATGCTGTGAATCTAGGAGCCACCTTCTGAATCGGCGGGCACCGACGACCCAATTGCTTAATGAGAGTTTCTTTAGATGTCACGTGAAACTGTGATATGAGGTGCTAGCAGAATCCGCTGACTTTGCTCACGTTAATTAGCAAACGAAGTAACTTATCTCTTAATCTAGGATATGATTAATCTAATTAAGACTCTAGAATATAAATTGATTTATGTTCTATCGGTTTAGCACTCCGTCTTCCGACGGTCGTGTGTTCGATCCTCGCATTATACAAAAATTTATATTCATTAGTATGATTGTTTGTATCGATTGGGATCGATGTTTTTTTATTATTTTCAGATAAAGAAAAAATTCAGTGTATTCTATCAGTTGAAAGCATTCATAACACTACTCTAGCTGTTTTGGGACTAAATGGCGCTGTGTGAATTGTCCTGATATATTGTAATCTATTTTTGAAAATATATAAAATTTTTCAAAACAACTAGACGATTTATGAACACTGGCATATTTATGATAATATTACGATGATAATATATAATTTTTTATTATTTTCAGATATTGAAAGGATCTTACAGTTATTACACTATCCTGAGTGAGAAAGCAGACTAAAGTCTACATGCTGTTTTGTTCTACAAATGACCTGAATTTCTGCGTATTAAAAACATCTCGAAAATATATAAAATCACAAAACACATGGCTATTCTCTATGACACTCGCATTTGCCAATTCACTTGTAATGATTTAAATAATTACTTAATAATTATTGCGGCTAAGCAACTATTATTCAATAATGAAGCATAAATTTATTAAGCAATTTTCACATAGCATTATTTATTTTATGACCACATCGAAGAGTATAACCTATTACGAAGCAAGTAGTATCAATTTCCACCGTTTTTGTTATTATAAACTGGTTTCTAAATTCGAATTGGAGGATAATGATATTTATTTATTATACATTACATTTCGGGTTATACAATATATTTAATAAATGTTTTTTATAACTGCATATTCCTTGAAACTTTGTCGTATTATATCTATATAAAAATCTATATAAAATTACAAGCATGGTACTGTATCTCTTACATATTATATTACTATTTAAAATCATGTTTTTTGATGTCCTATTGTCCAGTTGCTCACTTTATCTAATGAGTGTTCTAACTGTATTTATTTTTATTATACAGAAAAGACGACAATACTTTTAGAGCATAAATAATATGTAATCATATCTGAATTTCTAAGTGATAAATTAATAAAGGATATAAATGAATTTTAATTTAATAATTTGAATAATATTTCCTACCCTTATAATTATAATACGAATAGAAAATTGAATTAACAAATGAATAAGCGGCTGAGCTAAATATCCATTTGTAATTGAATTATATCCCAAAATAACTCCTCATTAATATGATATTCAAGTAATCTGAAAATAAAATATCACTCATTATTTTATGTTAATGAATTTTATTTGCAATTTCCAATATTTAATTTTGGAATAAGGTCACGTGTCGCTTATTCATCGGCACGTACGATTGTGGTCGCTAAACCGGATCAAACTGAATTAATCTAGCAACTGATGATTCCTGAAATGTCATGAGATCCTAGTATTGCAGAATTTATTATTATTACTACTACTACTACTACTACTACTACTACTACTAATTTATACTGTTTTATTACACATAAACTATAATTAACTTAACTATAAAGCGAAGTGAGTGAGTCAGTCTGTATATTTGCGATAATTTCAAAGACTAGTGAGTGGATTTATATACGGTATTCATTCATCAACAGAGTGATTTCTAAGACAGGTTTAGGTGTATAATTGATAGATTGATGTGAAACTGGGGCGAGTTACAAGTACATAAATAATAAAATGAAAGGAATTTGGAGCAGTTATTTCTTCATTAGCAATCATTATGCTTTTTAAAATTCTACTAAACTCTTATTGTATGTATAATAGGATAATTTTGTAATCCCAAATCGTTGTGATATCATGTATGTCATGTATTCTAATATGTATAAATTTAAAAAGATATAAATAAATAAAATATAATAGATATTTCATAACTATAATATAACAACTATTTTTATACCTTTTTTTATACATATATGTTTTTTTATAATATTATATTGTTTCTATATGAGATAAGACAGTTTAATACATAATATTCTACAACTATACCGGTACCGTTTTCTTTAGCTCGTCGTCTTGGTCTCCATCCTTCACAACAATAGTAATTAATTTCAAATTATATAATTATATCCTATGGATGTTACTACTAGCTATATCAGAGAGTACAGGCGTCATCAAATTTTTTACTAAATAAATAATAGATTTATTTCTATTACTTTTATTTAACCTGTGGCGGATGGACTGTATTAAGGCTGGTTTAAAATGAGACACATTCCTAGGTGAGGTAAAATATGTGTATTCAGCTAGCTAGCAAAAACGAAAAGACCAGGGATACGGCCTTAGAAAACAATGGGTATGTGAAAACAGAACATAAAAATATATGATTAAAAAGGTTTCCTTAGGCAACATAACCTATGTGATAACAAAATATTTTATAAAAATTTATAATTTCTCTAGAAATATTTTCTTGAAACCTTAACATAACAGATAAATAGACAATTTTCGCCTCGTTATGGTTTTATGATTTTATTATAATATAAAGAAGGTAATAAATTCTAAACAAAAATAATATCCGTTCAAGTTCTTTGCGTAATATTGAATCAAGACCCTAACTTTTATGGAGTAAATCAGACTCTACTTCATTATACCCGTAATAATGTGCCAGCTGGCTCAATAAATGAGCCTAATAAATGTGGACCATCAGAGGACTAAGTAAATAAAGTAAGTAAATATTACTTACCAGTTACGACGTATGTATGTACAGCTTCAGAATGTGCCCACGAGTTTGTTTATTAAAAAAATATTCTTTGCAAACAATAAAGTCATTAAGTATGTTGTTACTAATAATATGTTGGTATGTTTCGCGGTTACATGTATATGTAAATAAATTTTGATATAATTGAAGAAAAGTTTATGACTAAATCAAATTTCTTGCCAGTTCTTCTAGATTTCTTCTAAATTTCCTGAACTGTACAAAAAAAAAGTAGAACAAAAAATCAATAATAAGTATTTTGCATATAGTTACATGAATATATACTTGACAAAATATGGACTTGAAGTCCACTGAACACGATGTCCACTTAACTTAGAATTATATTTCATCAAATAGTATTTTAATTTGTACTGTTCCATAGTAAAAAGTAGAAGGTAATATATGAATGCTTCAGTCAAGAAGTTTTTTTAGAATTCCATTGCCGATTCGTCGAGTTCGTTACTTTGTTTTCGTTTTGTCAGGCGTCCATGGTCTACAATAACTATTTACCTTTTTAGCCATTATGGTATAAAAAAAATCTTGTATGTTTTTTAAAGACCCATTCACTACTCTTACTACACTACACTTATTCAGTTAGACAAGTTGATATTAACCTATATTGTCATTAATTAATATTATTACTCTATGTCTAAATTTAACAAAGAATATTTAAGACGTGAATGAAGTGAAAACCGCTCATTTATTAAGACGAGTATCATTTACTTTAAAAGCATTTGTACAATTAATTCAATAGTATCTCTCACAAAATTTCCTTCTTATAAATGGGTACCGAACATTTTCTCAAGATAATATTTGAATGAACACTCCCATTTACTTAAGTGTTTTCCTCAGCCTTAATTTAATTGCTAAAATACCTATTTAGATTTCATGAATAGTTCGAATATTTAAGTACAATTCCAACACATTTATTTACAACAACAGCAGTTCGAATTTCAAATTGTTAATTTAACTCGCATTTATGTTATAAATTGAAATGTAATGTATAATACAATAAATATTATTATCCTCCAATTCCAATTTAGAAACCGGTGTATAATAACAGAAACGATGGAAATTAATCCTATTTACCTCGTCGTAAGTTGTAGTTTTCCATGAGATTATAAATAAATAAGTCTTCATTTAGAATTTAGGTAATATTATGATAAAATATGTACTTATTTATTCAATTTCTAAAATATGTTCTGATAAGAGTGTTCGTGTTTTTATAATTTTTTTACGTGAATTTTATTAATATTTTTTTAAAGTATTGTACTTGTACAATAATATTTTATTAAAATTTACAGCTTCTTAATAATTATTAAGTAATTATTTCATAATTTACAAGTGAACAGACAATGCCAAGTCGTTTGTAATTTTTTATCTTTTGTTCAAGATATTTTTAAAAAGCAGGAATTAATTATATTTATTTTAGAAGCTGCGCAAAACAGTATGTAGACCTTACTCATATTATTACACATAACTATAAGACCCTTTTAATACCTGAAAGTAATAAAACCATTTAGTTGTTTAAAATTTTTGCATGCAAAGATAGATTATATCAAGAGATAGTATATTTTTTATGCTATATAATGCGATTGAAGTCGAGGGATGCTGCTAGTACCTAATATCAAAGAGATTTTCCTGACATCTAAAAAAACTCTCGTTAAACAATTGGGTCGCCGGTGCCAGCCGATTCAGAAGGTGGCTTCTTGACACAGCACGTTTTGTTCAGATATTCTCAACTATGCAACCCTAAATTCTGGTTTCGTACTACTATTTATTTCGTCATTTATTTATTCTTCTCTCTAGAATAGAGATTAAGTACAAAGCCTTATTTACGCTGATCGCAGTCTCGATTAAAAAGTTCTCGCAAAATACAAACATTTTTATTCTGATGAATACACTATACATTTATATTACTGATGTAAAATTGTTTGTGTTAATGTGTTCTCTTTTAAATTACGTGTATTATGTATGTATTTATAAAACGATTTATTTAAGTATTTCTATTCTTATGTACTGGCTATTCGCCCCGGCTTCGCATGGGTATACATGTATTATATATATATATATATAAACCTTTACTCTATCTATTAAAAAAAACCCGCTTCAAAATCAGTTTTAAAGATTTAAGCATACATAGGGCCGGACAGACAGCGGCCGCGACTTTGTTTTATACTATGTAATAATGATAAATATTGATGTAGGTTTACTACGTTTGGGACTAGATGGCGTTGTGTGAATTGGTGTTAGTTGATGACTTTCTCTTGTCGTAAATCCGACCAACAGCGACCCACTAATGTACCTTTCATGCGCTCATACGTGACTGGTAAAACCAACTTTATTTATAAAGACTTGGTCGCATTGAGTACATTAAAGTTGTTCAGAATCATTGTACATATAGGTGTAGAAACGCCTCAGACGAGTCTGTAGCGTTTCACGTTCAGACTTCAGACGGTTCTCCTCAGAGTTCTACAACTGTTTGAAAACAGTTGAGCGCCATTAGTGTTAGGTATAACAGCCTTTATTCATTTATTTATTAATTCATAACTTTTATTACATATTCTAAATAATGATTGAAAAATCGATAATAAACAAAATTAAATACAGAGACTGTAGTTGCCACTTTGTTCCTTGGTGAAAGTAATTTAATATTGAAATTTATTACATACTCTGCCGACCCCAAATAATGGGAAAGGCAAGGCAATAATGATG